TWAAAAAWWAAAAAAAAGAAATCAGTTTACCTGCAAGGTATGATACAGAGACAGAGAGAGATGCTTATCTGCTCTGTGCAGAAAGGCAAAATTTCCTGCTAAAGGAGGGGGATGCCCCATGGCTTCACCTCACCCTGTTCCCCCTCTGAGACAACTTCAATTCTTATGTTTGCACCTCGAAAATCCCCATGGGATTGGGGAGCAGTTAGAACAAAAAATCCCCATGGTTGGGGAGCAGTTAGAACAAAGGGAATGGAACCTTTCTACTCTACACCTCTCACCAGAGACCCTTGAAGGGCTTTCCAGATATTTCCAGCCAGAAGCTCCAGGTTGCAGGCAGGAATTCTCCAATTTTCTGTGTGTGTCAGGAAGGAAAGGCCTTTCTGCACCAGGGCTCACTGGGAAGCTCCTGGCAAAGAGGAGAATTACAGCACAACTCATATCACTCCAGTTTGGTTAACCAGAAGGGAAAATTCTTCTATCAGAAACACCAAAAGCCAGGAAAAAGCAACCATTTTTTGCCTTTGGGTGGAGGACAGAAGGTGGAAAGGGAAGCAGAGCCCCTGCAGGTATCTCTTGGGTGCTCTTGAGAACAGCACGGGCAAAGCAGGAGAGACAGGAGTGGATAAAAGGATTTTTCATGCCAACAGTGTTCCTTTTTTTTCTTTGGGAAGAAAAGCTCCTATTGAGCCAAACATATAATCTACTTAATAAAAGAAAAAGGCTGAAGGAAATGGATGGGGCGAAGGGAAACAAAGAGCAGTTCCCAGAGTTGGGGGGGTGTGTTCCCCCCTCACAGAGTGCCTGAGGATGAGCAGAGCTGGAGCAGAGCCTGCTCGATCTGCTCCCCACACTGATCCCGGCTTAAAGCCCAGCCCAACCCTTCGGGGATGCTGTTTGAACAAGCCCAAGGTTCAGCTGCACATCCTGGGGATGAAGCTTTGTTCTCACTGGAGGGATGGWGCAGGTTGGAGCAAACCTTGCTGGGATTTGATCCGGCTGCTCCCAAAAACCAGAGAGGTCAATCAGCAGTGCCAAAAGACAAATTCTTCTCCATCTTTGACTACCCCAGCCCAGGGTTTGACTCCTTCAAGCCAAAAGCTGCTTCTGCTCCCCACGAGGTTCTGACAGAGGTATCCACATCCCTCTGCATCAATTCCAGGAGACAGCCAGCACTTGTTTTCTTTTCTCCCATGAAATCCCCCCATTTAAAACAACCTCTACTCCCAAAACGGATCCAAACAAACAGGTGGGGGGCTGTGGATTTGAGCTCTGTGCTCCAGGGAGACTCAAATACTGAGCTGTGACAGGCAAAGAACATTTCTCCTCCTTTCCCAGCTCATTTTGCACATATTTATTCTCACACGGAGTTGCATGTGTCAAGATGTCTCTGCAGCTAGACAGGGGAAAGTTTCACAGCAAAAATCTCCTGCAATGGTGTTAACCACCTTTTGGAATACATTTTCCAGCATCTCCCCGAAGCTGAGCCTAAGAAAGATGCCATTTTCTCAAGGCTGAACTCTACCTGATCAATATGTATGAGGATAATTAACCTGAAGATGATCATTGGTAAAATTTGCYAATAACCACCCACGTATTTACCAGATAAACAGATTTTTGCAGGGATTGTAGCTGCTGTTCTTTTTCAACAGTTTGAATTTAGGCTGGAAGAATGATTCCCCTGATTTTGAGCTTTTCCAAGGCTTTGGAACAGGACCTGCAATTGATTGTGCAGCACCAAACTTAATGAGCCCCACTCTGGGAGCAGCAGTTTCATGAAGCAGCAGCAGAAATGGGAAACAATTGTAGCTCTTTGTAGTTTTGCTGCTTCTTGGGATGCTTTAATAAAGAGGGACGTGTGTAAACATGCTTGGAAAAAAGAAATACCTGTCAGCGTCTGGCTCTACGCCCCACCAAAATAAGGAACAACCTTTATCACAGAAAGTTAGGAATAATATCCATTCCCTCGTGGGGAGGGAGCAGAGGTGTGTCCAGGAGTCCATGTGAGCTCCTTGTCCAGATTTACCACCCCAGGAACAGAGCTCCATGAAAAAAATCAGCTCCTTTTCCCAAAGGCAGCGATGAGGGCACACTGAGCCATCTGATGAAGGCTTTAAAGAAAAAAATATTCACTTTTTATCATATTAGCATGGAATCMTGGAATGGTTTGGGTTGGAAGGGACCTTAAAGCTCATCTTGTTCCACTTTGCACTATCYCAGGGTGCTCCAAGTCCTGGCTTTGGACACTTCCAGGGATCAAGGGGCAGCCTGTGCCAGGGCCTCCCCACCCTCACAGGGAGGAMTTTATTCCAAATATCCCATCYAAYRCTGTCCTCTATCAGTGGGAAGCCATTCCTCCTCATCCTGGTACTCCAGGCTGTTGTAAACAGCCTCTCTCCATCCTTYCTGCAGYTCCTTCAGGTCCTGGAAGGYCACAATTAGGACATCCCAAAGSTCCTGTTTTCCAGGCTGGACAATCYCAATTGTCTCAGGCTTCCCTTCTAGGAGAGGTGCTCCATCCCTCTGATCATCTTGATGGYCCTTCATAATCACATTCACCTCGGTATCCACAGCTCTGTCCTTGCTGGGATCCATTTGAGTCCAAAGTGACTCCTCCAGTGCCACCTCCAAGCTCCCAGAACCACTTCAAACCACTTCACCTACACCCAGCACCTCCAAAAATCAAAATTTTTAGGCCAGTTCTGGATGCTCTCACTGCTCTTTTTTTTTTTTTTACTAAGGAATTGGAGAAACGAGCACGGATCTGCCCTTCCATAAATACAGCACCACACCACAAATACCTTCCCTACATCCCGTTTACCCTTCAATTTTTTCTCCTGTTTTGGATCAAAACATCTTTCTGGTTCCTGTATCTACTGCTAAAAGAAATGGAGTTAAAATTAGCTGCAAAGCACTAAGAAAAACAAGGCACTTTAATGCAAGCCATCCAGAAACCAAACATTATCCTGGGATATTTCAAGTTGGGAGTAAGAGCCTCAACTTCTTTGAGCTGGCTGAAGTCCCCTGGCACAGGCTGGACCTGACGTGAAGGCTGACTAAAAAACACACGAAATGGAAA